ATGAGCCTCAGCCAGCCGCAGAATACCGGAGTCGAGCACTGGAAACCTGGTGGTGTAGTTGTTTCAAATGCAAAGCAATGCCAACGGATGAGGAAAGTCTTTGCTGCTCAGACTGGGAATTGGTGATGCCTGCACTTGAGAATCTGGACATCAGTACTGACGAGACTGCAGCTCTTCAGAGACCGTGCATCACCAATCACCCTGAGCGCGCACATGTGAACGCGGAGCACAGAGAAGCAGTCAGAGCTACAGGCTACAGTGAGGCTAAAAACAGAGTTCATATGACGTTTTTTGAAACAACTTTTTATGTCGCGGCTGCAGCACACTAGTAGTATGTATGTACCTAGTACCTTCTAGTACCAGTATGGAGATACTTTGTGGATTCAATTTTGTGTTCTTGGACATTAGTCTGGGGTGCCATCTGCCATTAGGTGTGCTAGCCGCTCCACCCGCCGATCTCCGCAAGGGATGTGAGGACTCTAAAACTTCACCAGGGCCTCCGTCAGCATATAGATGAGTAGATAATGGCTGAATTTTCATTTTTGGGTGCACTATCCCTTTAAGTGTTCAGAGTTCAACAAAGGGCCGTGGCACTGTTTTTTTGTTGTTTTGTTTTTGGAAACACACCCTAATATAGTCGGTAACACTTTACAATAAGGTACACAGAATTAGAGTAGTTACTGAGGAACTAATGAGGAACGAATGAGGAACAAATGAGAAGAAGAAGAAGAAGACTTTATTGTCATTGTGCATTGCACAACTAAATTACGTGTAGTACCCTCGGCAAGATAACAACACAATAAAAGGACAGACAGTATATAAATATAAATATAAAAAGACGTCAGTAAACAATAATGTGCGTGAGAGATATAGCAGCAGTATAAAAACTTTGATAAAAGAGGCAGCAGGCAGTGTAAAAACAGCAGCAAGGTGAGGTAAAGTGCAACGGTGCAGTTCAAAGTGCAAAGGTCAGTTCCTCAGTTTGGGGCTGGTGTGTATGTGAGTGCAGGGGGGTTGATGGAGGCCACAGCCCTGGGGAAAAAGCTGTTCCTCAGTCTATTTGTCCTTGCTTTGAGGGCCCTGTACCTCCGTCCTGAGGGCAGGGGAGAGAACAGTGTGTGACCCGGGTGGATGGGATCTGTGGCAATGCTGCTGGCCTTCCTCTAGAGGCGGCCAGCGTACACCGAGTCCAGGTCTGGGAGAGGACTTCCCACAATCCTCTGGGCTGTTCTTACCACCCGGGCTAAGTCCTTTCTGTCTTGTGCCGTGCAGCTGCTGTACCAAACGGTCATGCCAAGACAGAGGATGCTCTCGATGGTGCTTCTGTAAAAGTTTGTCATTAGCTTGGATGGTAGTCCTGCCTTCCTGAGCTTCCTCAGAAAGAAGAGTCTTTGCTGAGCCTTCTTTACTGAGTGTGTGGTGTTCAGAGCCCAGGTGAGGTCAGCTGTGATGTGGATTCCCAGGAACTTGATGTTGTCCACACGCTCCACTACCTCTCCCTGTATGAGTAGTGGAGTGTGTGCTGTTCTTCTGGTTGTCCTGTAGTCTACAATGACCTCTTTTGTCTTGGCGGTGTTCAGGACCAGGTTGTTGTCCAAGCACCACCGGGATCCTATTCTCACCGCTTGCGGCCTGTTGGTGAGAAAGTCACTGATCCATGAACACAGTGGGGTAGGCAGGCCCAGATTGCGAAGTTTGAATACCAGTTTATGGGGGATGAGTGTATTGAAGGCGGAACTGAAATCAATAAATAGCATCCTAACATATGTGTTTGGCTGCTCCAGGTGAGAGATGGCTGTGTGGAGTGCTATGGAGACTGCATCCTCTGTGGATCGGTTCCCCCTGTAGGCAAACTGGTGGCTCTCCAGGTCAGGGGTGAGATGTGTTTCAGGATGAGCCTCTCAAAGCATTTCATCACAATGGGGGTCAACGCGACTGGGTGGTAATCATTGAGGCAGGTGACAGCTGACTTCTTAGGCACAGGTACAATGGTGGATGATTTGAGGCAGGTGGGGACTGTGGATAGCTGCAGGGAGAGATTGAAAAAAAAAGAGGAACTAACTATTAGTTAATGGTCAGTTCCTCAGTAACTCATGATCAAATTTCAGAGGAGTAGTTACTGAGGAACTAATGAGTAGTTACTGAGGAACTAATGAGTAGTTACTGAGGAACTAAGGTACACAAAATTAGAGTAGTTACTGAGGAACTAATGAGGAACTAATGAGTAGTTACTGAGGAACTAAGGTACACAAAATTAGAGTAGTTACTGAGGAACTAATGAGGAACGAATGAGGAACTAAAGAGGAACTAATGAGTATTTATTGAGGAACTAACTATTAGTTAATGGTCAGTTCCTCAGTAACTCATCATCAAATTTCAGAGGAGTAGTTACTGAGGAACTAATGAGTAGTTACTGAGGAACTAATGAGGAACGAATGAGGAACTAGTGAGGAACTAGTGAGGAACAAATGAGGAACTAATGAGGAACGAATGAGGAACTAGTGAGGAACTAGTGAGGAACAAATGAGGAACTAATGAGGAATGAATGAGGAACTAATGAGGAACTAACTATTAGTTAATGGTCAGTTCTTCAGTAACTCATGATCAAATTTCATAGATGACTTAATAATTAGTGAACTAGTTACTTCATCAGTGCAGAATCATTACTCAATAACCTGTCCATTAGTTAACCTTTTTATGTCCTAAAGTAAAGTGACACATAATGAGTAGTCTTTCATTACTTCATCATCATCTTTACAATTAGTTCCTTAACAAAAAAAACACAGACAGCAGGATTCTTGAGAAGAGTTTTATTCATTATTTTCAGACCACATACACATTAATATGACCATCCATGTTATTCTGTACGATGATGCCTTAGAAATAAATATGATAGTGTGTCACATTTTAGGTAGGCTAAGCTTAAAGAATTTATCATGGGGGCTGCGTGTAAAGTACTGTATGCTGATCACACCGTTGTTCACAGTACTGTTGTTTGAGGTGCACAAAATTTAAATTAGTTACTATGAAACAAATTTGGAATTAATGAGGAACTAACTATTAGTTAATGGTCAGTTCTTCAGTAACTCTTGATCAAATTTCAGTAGTTACTGAGGAACTAATGAGGAACTAACTATTACTTAATCATTACCTACCCTTTTTGTGTACCCTAAAGTAAAGTGAGACATCAAAATGATATCACTCCGCGCTACTTTGTTGATCTCATGCATTCAACGGACTTCCGGTTTCCCTTTTTGCATTATTTCCTTTCACGCAGGCACAGAACGTATGTGCTACTTGGCCGTCGGATGTAGTCTTTTTTTTTTTTTTCCACAACTTTATTTAAGACAGGAAGTTTACAGAATACAAATCTTCAACATTACACATATATGTCATATATCACATATGCCAGGGGGGATAAGAGTTTACAAGAAAATATTAAAATTATCACAAATATTAATGATTTTGATTGCCTTTTGATTAAGGGAAAATTTAATGGAATCGATGTAACGAAAGCAACAAAAGAAGGTTTTCTATGTGTAAACTTACATTTGTGAATGTGAAATCTTGCCAAAAGTAAGATGAGATTAATAATAAATCATTCATTGGGTTTTGCCGTATTTCTGTTAAAGTCAAAAAGTCCAAACAGCACATCCCTCCAAAACAGCTTAAATTCTTTTTCAATATTGTTCGCAATAAAATTACAAATATCACTCCAGAGTCTTTTGACAATGGGGCAGTGCCAAAATAAATGAGTAACAGTTTCAAGCGTTGGGTGTAGTCTTTGTAGTGTGCTCAAATGCAACTGACACAGGGTGACGTGAGGCGACGTAGACGACGCAACAGTTGGCTTTCGTTGCCGCTAGTCCTTTGATGTCGGTTTGGTGTGTCAGCACCTTGTACAGAATAACATGGATGATCATATTAATGTGTATGTGGTCTGAAAATAATGAATAAAACTCTTCTCAAGAATCCTGCTGTCTGATTTTTTTTGTTAAGGAACTAATTGTAAAGATGATGATGAAGTAATGAAAGACTAATCATTATGTCACTTTACTTTAGGACATAAAAAGGTTAACTAATGGACAGGTTATTGAGTAATGATTCTGTACTGATGAAGTAACTAGTTCACTAATTATTAAGTCATGATTAACCCCTCTATGAAATTTGATCATGAGTTACTGAAGAACTGACCATTAACTAATAGTTAGTTCATCATTAGTTCCTCAGTATCTACTCCTCTGAAATTTGATCATGAGTTACTGAAGAACTGACCATTAACTAATAGTTAGTTCCTCATTAGTTCCTCAGTAACTACTCCTCTGAAATTTGATCGTGAGTTAATGAAGAACTGACCATTAACTAATAGTTAGTTCCTCAGTATCTACTCCTCTGAAATTTGATCGTGAGTTAATGAAGAACTGACCATTTACTAATAGTTAGTTCCTCAGTATCTACTCCTCTGAAATTTGATCATGAGTTACTGAAGAACTGACCATTAACTAATAGTTAGTTCATCATTAGTTCCTCATTAGTTCCTCAGTAACTACTCCTCTGAAATTTGATCATGAGTTAATGAAGAACTGACCATTAACTAATAGTTAGTTCCTCAGTAACTACTCCTCTGAAATTTGATCATGAGTTAATGAAGAACTGACCATTAACTAATAGTTAGTTCCTCATTAGTTCCTCAGTAACTACTCATTAGTTCATCATTCGTTCCTTATTAGTTCCTCAGTAACTACTCTTATTTTGTGTAGTTCCTCAGTAACTACTCATTAGTTCCTCATTCGTTCCTCATTAGTTCCCCAGTAACTACTCTAATTTTGTGTAGCTTAGTTCCTCAGTAACTACTCATTTGTTCCTCATTAGTTCATCATTAGTTCATCAGTAACTACTCTAATTTTGTGTACCTTAGTTCCTCAGTAACTACTCATTAGTTCCTCAGCAATTACTCTAATTTTGTGTGGGTAATTTTATGTAGTGTCACCGCCCTGTAGGTCATCAAGTGCAAGGCAGCAGTAGCCTGGGAGCCCAACAAGCCTTTGGTGATTGAGGAGATTGAGGTAGCCCCACCCCAGGAAAACGAGGTCCGCATCAAGGTGAGAGAACACTATCAGAACACACATGTGCATACATAGTGTGTTACTGCACTTGTCTCTTCTTTGCTTCTCAGCCTCTGTTTGCCACTAGTAGTGATGGAAGTGTACTTTTATATAAAAATCCTGCTTGCAACTCCTGAGGTCCATTTAGTGAAATGATTGATATTTGTGTCACTATAATGCTAGAAATGTTGCTCGTACTGCTAAACCCAATAAGTGTGAGTTCCCTTAACCATCTTCCTGTTTTCATTGTTTGGTCACTGTCTTTGCTGCAGATTGTGGCAACTGCAGTGTGCCACACAGACCTGTACCACCTTTTGGAGAATATGCATAAAGACGGCTTCCCAGTAGTCCTTGGCCACGAGGCAGCTGGCATTGTGGAGAGTGTTGGGCCTGGAGTCACTGAATTTCAGCCAGGTCAGTTTGTAATGGTATTAACATTCTGGGATATTTGCTTGACTGTCACATGGCAACATTGTCTTTGAATTTCCAGGAGACAAGGTGATTCCTCTGTTCATCGCCCAGTGTGGAGAATGTCGCTTCTGTAAGAGTCCAAAGACCAACCAGTGTGATGTGTGGTGAGCACAATAAGCTTTAATCTCTTGCTTTTGTCCCGATTTTCTCTCTTTTTATATTGTTTTTCATTCGTCAAAGGTAATAGACACAAAGAATTTTTTTCTGCATGTCCCTATCAGTGTAGGAACTTTAGGTGCTGTCCAAAGAAAACACAGTACAGTTTGATTTGATTTGGTTTTATCAGGATCCTCATCAGTGGATGCATAACATCAGCTACTCTTGCTGGGGTGCACACAAAACATAAAAAGACATAACAGATTTGACACAAATTCTCACTCCAACCTCGTCACATATTGATTTTTGGTCATGGACTTTCCACGTTGTTGATATTTGCAAGGTTGTTGATATTTGGGGATGCCATGTCAAGTTCTGCCTGTTACATGACTGTTTGCAAACAGTCTCTTTCAAAATGAACACACTACTTCAGTTCAACACTGCAAATTGATGTTTTGTTTTCCTTCAACAACAGTTTTACCCCTGACATGCACATGGTTGGGTTTAGGCAACAAAAGCACGTGATTGGGTTTATGACAAAAGAACAGGGTTTGGCTTTGCAATTATACAGGAAGCTTTTGTCGTTGTCCAGCCACGTTTCCCTCTGACGCTGCCGGATGCCGTTAGACCATGACAGCAACCACCCATGTATCATGCCAGTGTGAAAAATCATAATTTTTTTGTCAGTGTCTAATGCCAGAAGTCACTAATCAGGCGCTGGTTTTTGATGACTTTGGTGTAAGACTGCTGACTTGACACTTACAGACCAAACAACCAAACGAAATTAAAATCAGAAAAGTATAACTAACAGTCTTTTGATCTCAAACATGTTAGACATTGACATTATACATACTCTTATTTAACCACTTTTATGTATATATTTATACACACAAAATTCAAGATCTATGTTAATTTTTTTTGTTAGTTTTTTAGCATAAGCATATTACAAGTATTCAGGGAGGCCCCCTTAATAGTTTTTTGTTTTAATTTTCTTAGTTTTCTCTAATGTCAAAACTGTATTATTTCATTCAGGACCAAGGCTCGTTTAGAGGTGATGTCACCATCAGACTCCAGGTTTACCTGTAAGGGAAAGAAGCTGCTGCAGTTCTCTGGAACCAGTACCTTCTCTGAGTACACTGTGGTTAACCAGACAGCTGTGGCTAAGATCGACCCCGCTGCTCCTCTGGACAAAGTCTGTCTCCTCAGCTGTGGGATCTGCACAGGATATGGAGCAGCAGTTAACACTGCTAAGGTATGTATGTTTGATTGTTGCAGATCACCTACATCATTATTTTGGATTGAAACAACAGAATGAGAAATTTAGTGTTAAGTGCCTATAAATTTGACAATTTTGTATGATAAAAGACTTTTCAATTAACATTCTTCCTTAGATTGGAAAGCCTCTGAAAGAGTATGCACTCATTATGGGACATAAAACCTTTCCATTGATTATTACTGTATGATGCATTAATAAGTCTAACTTAAAGAGACATGTTGACCAAAATCTGTGTTTCTCTGGGTGGAACTTATTCCAAATCTTAACCAGATTCAAAATATCCCCAGAGCCATACTTAGGGCATTTTTTCCTTATTGGACTTACCTCCACTGCTTTACGGCAAGGAATCCCAGACTGCATAATTACAATCCTTAACCACTGATCTTTCCCAGTGTACCGCACTTACATCCGCAATGACATTAACAACATCAGAAATGCCCATATGCACCTTTACTTGTAAAGATTTTCTCTGAGGCTCTATCCACATTAGAGCAAGGGAAGAGACAGTTCCCCCACTTAGAGTCCCGATATTCCCTGTTCCCCCCTTCCTTCCCACCTCCAGCTGACCACCATTGTCCTCCTCCGTCCATCTGTTCATGACCCTGATTTCTCCCCTCATCTCTTCATCCCTCAAACACATCCATCGATCTGTTCATGAATCTGAGTCTTTTCCTCATCCAATGACCTTTATCCCTCCATCCAGACCGTTAATCCATCATATTCAATAAACTAGTCGAAATCTTTATCTTTATTGGTGTGGTCTTTGTTAGTGAATTACTGTATGAAGCATTAGTCCAACCTAAAGAGCCATGTTGACCACAGTCTGTTGCACTTTAGGTGGAACCGGGCTCAACATGTGCTGTGTTCGGCCTGGGAGCTGTGGGTTTGGCTGCAGTCATGGGCTGCAAGGCTGCAGGAGCCAAGAGGATCATTGCTGTTGACATCAATCCAGAGAAGTCTGAGAAGGCCAAGGTGCTTGGTGCGACTGACTTTGTGAACCCCAAGGATCACAGTAAACCCATCAGCCAAGTGCTATCTGAGATGACTGATGGAGGAGTGGACTACTCTCTGGAATGCGTCGGAAATGTGGGACTCATGGTAGGAAAATTTGATTAAATCCAGTTCAATATAATAAAGAGGTGTTACCTAACTATTAAACAATAACCTTTATTCTAATCAAAGTCAATTGTTATTGGAAAAGCGGTTAGTGTCATTCAATAAGTGATTCAGCCCAGCTAGTCCAGAGATTTGGATCAGCATCTTTCATATTACCAGTCTACTGACTTTGTGCTTTTTCTCCATCTAGCGCAGTGCCTTGGAGTCTTGTGTGAAAGGTTGGGGTGTCAGCGTGGTTGTTGGCTGGACAGACTTGCAAGATGTTGCTGTCCGACCCGTTCAGCTCATCACTGGACGCACATGGAAGGGCTCCCTGTTTGGAGGTGAGACAAATATGACCATCACCACTCACTAATGAATCTCTTGTTACTGAATGGGTTTGGGCTTAAGTTCTGCCATTATCTAGCTCATTGTATTCTGGATTGACTTTATGTTCTCATTTTGTGATTTTGTGGCTTAGGCTTTAAAGGTAAGGCTGCAGTGCCTCAGATGGTTAAAGCCTACCTGGACAAGAAGGTGATGGTAGATGAGTTCATCACTCACAACATGACTTTGGACCAGGTCAATGATGCCATTGAACTGATGAAACATGGCAAATGGTATGTTTATACAACTTTACTCTTCTACAGTTCATGACTTAATGACAACACAGATAAATTAATCTGCTCATTTCTCCTTTTTCTCATTCCACAGCATCCGGACTGTCCTGAATGTTTCTCCACAATAACACCACTGCATTGCTTTCAACGACCCCAAAGTAACCGAATATTTCATCACTATATTATACAAAAGCTCAGCATAATATGCAAAATGTCAGCATAACACTCATACAAATAATACAATGCATATAATAAGACGGCTTTCAAATTATGCACACCACACATGCCTGACTTTGAACACTCAATACTCTTAAGTGGATCACATGCAAAATGTGAGAATCATCTGTATTGTTTGTTTAAAGCTAAACATGTCTGGTATTTATAGAGCAAAATAAATGGTTTCAGCAGATGGTGTCTGTGGCTTCCTTGTTTATATTGTGATTTTGTCATGTTGTATGTCCCCGGAACACATTCAAGTGTGAAAACTATCATGTGACAAAATTCTGCATTGCATTGTAGTAAGTGTTATGTTGGGAATGTATGGTTCAAAAATATTAAAATGGCTATCAGAAATAATTAATAATTATTACAAATAATTATTGATCATGTTAATTGATCAATAATTGATCAATTGATAAATTCAGGCTCATTAAATATACTGAACTATTAATTTGGAACTCTGGTTAATAATTGAAATAATAACTGTAACCAAAATTACCATATCAGTGGTAAAGATTTAAGGATGTCAGAGCACTTGACATAGCAGGGGATGGTGATTCATTCACTCTTGTGCAATATTAAACAGACAGCGAGTAGGATTTCAAAGGTACTTATTTATAGTAATGCAAACATACAAATCTACAATTTAAATAAGTCTAACTAAAGACTAAAGCACTATTCGGACGGGATTAGTTTTACCTGGGCATGTGGGGTAATGTCACTTTACCACAGGACGTCAGTAATATTAATGGCCGATTCACACGGGATAAGAAATATCAGTAAAACTACCACAAGTGGGAGGGGTAAATCCATTCACGCACCGCCATGCCCTCCTGCCATCATGAGCGTATGATAGGACTGTCAAAAGCACCATGAAATTGAGTTCGAATATTTTCGAATTAATTTAGTAGAGTTTGAATAATATTAGAATTTATTATTATTATTATTATTTATTTATTTTTACAAAAAAAAACACACAAAAAATAAGATGCTTATTGCTGACGCAATATGAACGTGACACTCGGATGAAAACACCCCTTCTGACCTCACTGAAGTGCCAGGTATGATCAACTTCTGCCTCGCTATCTGAGCAATGTTTGGATACTTCAGTGCGTAGTTTTCCACCACAAGAGTGGATCCTGGTCGGCTCGTAGTGGTGTCTCATTCTGGTAACGTTTCATCTCTTCTTCAAAAAGTGTAGGCAGGGAGGCAGCAGGTGCAACACTCTCCCTGTATGTCTCCCCGAACAGGTCACCCATCGCGGACAGCGCAGTGGGTGGTGTTGGCGCAGCGGGCTCCTCCATCGGCGCCTCTCCCTCCCGCTGCGTCCCGCAAAATTATTGATAGTATTAATTAATTATTAATGATATTCGAATTAACAAATTTAGGTTCGAACTTATAAAAAATATATATATATTCGAATATATTTCTAACTTTGATTTTTTTTTTTTTTTTTGACAGCCCTAACACACATATTTACTGCTGGTCTATTCGCACAGGATTAGTATTACCTGAGGTAATTGTCCTGGACCCTTTTACAGAAGGTAAAAGTCGCGGTAATCTTTACTGACATCGTGCGGTAATGATTACTGACATGGCACTTTCGGACGGGACTAAAATCTCTGGTAATTATTACTTTACCCTACGTCCCTATGTAAAAATAATCCCGTCCGAATAGGGTTTAAGAGACAAAGGATGTGTGCTTATGTGTGTGTGTGTAAAGGACATAGACAAAGATGTGTGTAGGTGTGAGTGTGAACTCACCAAGAAAAAATGGCTAACTATCAAGAAGATGGCCATATCATAGATGGCCACTCTGGCTGAAAGAGGTTCTGTCTGACTGTATGTGGCTGGTTAGACCAATAGAACAATGGACAGGTGCAAAGCGGGTACTTTGAGTTTCCTTTCTAACTGTAGTTATGTTCGAGAGTCAAATCATGTGAGTATATGTGTGTGATCTGTGTTGTATAAAGGTGCCAGGTTAATAAAAGGACGTTTAGTTGCATGTAAGACTTTGTCTGTGTAAAGCATAAACTATCTAACAATACAATAGCTCAGGAAAAGCCAATTACCCAATAGCCTGACTACAAAGAGATCACAACAATAAAACTCACTGGAAAACAAATCAATATGTAACATACACTGACAAAAGTTAACAGTCGTGCTTAGCTGTACTGTTGCACTAATGCTATGGAAGGTTTGCTTGCAAACTTTGTGTCTGCTGAAGATGCTAACTTGTCTGCTGTCATTAGAAGAGTTGAGTATGGCTGTTTGAGCAGGCCAAGTTCAGAGAGCTCTTAGACTCCTTCAAGATGAGCTAGGCCTGCGCAGAATTGATCACCACCAATCACCACACAATGCATTCCAGTTAGACCTGTGTCCAACTTCATCCCGACTTGCTCTGACATCATGCACAAGTGGACGATAATCTCACAAGATTGAGGCAGCTGCAGTATTTATTCTGGTAACAAAATACATTGTGTGGCTGATAGTGATGTTTAGTAGTCAGAGAGGCTAAATACATTGACATCACAGATCATAAACTATACCTATGTAACATTGGATTGTTTTATTTATTGAAGTATTTAGCAACACAAAGACTTGTGGTAAGTGGGATGTGAGGATTTCTAAAATAATATCTGTACAGATGTGAAGCCCTGACTCAGACTGATCTAAAAAACAAGCTATCGTCTTTTATTTCTTTCATCTGTGTTTGACTATTAATGTTTTCAATTTAGATTGACAGATTGACAAGCATTTTAATAGGCTACTCTGTTACAATTAAAACAGAGAAATAAATAGAAAAACTGAACTGAAAAAAAACCCCTGATGTATGGGTCTGATAACATTTGAATAAATTGGAATCGGATCTAGCAGGATGTGAGTGTTTCTGTGACTTCCTCCACAGACTGAAGGCTGTTGGAAACTATCCAACAGCTTTTTGTCAGTGCCTCCTGCTGCTGCCACCTGATCTTATTTGCTTCCCAGGTGAGGCGCAGCTTCATGCAACAAGGTGAGAAGAAATGGAGGAAAGGTGAGGCAGCTTTTCTAGCACTCATGATTCTCCTCTGAGGAAATCCTAGGAGAAAGAGACAGAATAGGAGAAAGATTCTTTTTTGGCGTGGTGGCATTGCAGGGTCACATACCACAGTGACCAGCTGTGACTGAAGAACAACTTCTAGGCAGCTTTTCACACAAAAATGTGAAAAAGCAAAGGTCTGTGGGAAAATTAGTTCATTTGGCTGCGCTTTGTCTGATGAACAAAAGGAGGAAATGTCAGTTTACACAGTCCAGCAATCCAAACAGTAACAAAAGTGCTCTTGTCACTCTAACAGTTTAAGGTCAAAGTTACTCAGACCAGCTTAGTCATATCAATGTCAACTACTATAAATTGACAGGCAGTGTTGAAATTATATTTCCTATATGTAAGTCCAACTGTACTCAAATTGCTTTTTTCCTGCTACAGCATACATATCTGCTCTCTTAATTACCTGTCCTGTGCTCTCTCTTTAGTAAAAAAAAAGAAAGAAAAGAAAATCAACAGCACAAAATAAAATTTTGATGCATCCCATGGTTTTGCATTAGTTTATAGGAATACCGAAGATCTTATTTACAATATACTGCCTGTAAGAGCTAGATATTTTCTTATTGGCTCTTACATTGGCTCTTACAGGCTGAACCCCACGTGTTCATTGGCTATCACTCAGTGGAAATGAAGAAAGGAGCTTTATTTACCTTTATGCATAATGGAATGAATGAATAGAATGATTTTTCTGACACCGAAGCATGCAGTTAACTTTCTGAACACAATACACATCACAACAACAGGAAGTGTGTGGCATTGAACAGAAACAAACCCTATGGTGTTGCTGTCAATCCATTACAGACATCAGCACACCTTGTCATTCAAGGCCCCCATACTGGACAGACAAAATATCCCACTGAGTAGTATTTGAAGATGCAGTGTAAGACATTCTTCCAGTGGTTAATTGGGCATGACATCAGTATTTGTATTTGGTCAAGTCTGACAGAGCTGGTAGATATTTTCTTCATTTCCATCTTTTAGAACATGTGAGATTTTTTTTATCATTATTATTATTAAAAATTGAAATAGCAATTGTAATTTTATTTATATAGCACATTTCACTACATGTAAACATTAAACACTAGTGTTTCTCATTGAAAGACAACATAAAGAAAATATGAGAACAAAGGCAGCATAAGCATAGGACAGTATGAGCATGAGTCACCAACATCAACCTAATCAAAGCGAGAACACAAAAACATACACAGACACACAGACACACAGACACACACACACACACACACACACATGTAATATGTTCAGATTTTCATGCATGTGTAAGGATTCTGGCTCCAGCATTTTGAATGAGTTGGAGCTGTTTGACTGATTGTTTGGATAATCCTGCAAATAGAGCATTACAGGAGTCTAACCTGCTTGAGATAAACACATAACCAGTTTCTAAGGGTCAGTTTGAAGTATGAACGCTTTAAGTTTTGATATATTTTTAAAGTGGTAAAATGCTGTTCTTGTGATATTGGTTGTGTGATTTTTTTTTAACATTGAGATCAGTATCCAAAATATTGCCAAGGTTTCTGACATACTCAATGTATACCAGAGACAGTGTAAATCATTTTTTGGTCTCTGACTTTTAGGACCAATTTCGAGTATCTCAGTCTTCTGTATTCAGCTGTAAAACGTTTCTGGACATTAAGCAAATAACTTCATCAGTTCAGTTGACCTGTTTGTTAACACGACTGAGATCCAAGGCTGTAGCCAGAGTCACCATTGTGGGGGACCAAATCTGCCAGGGAGGTCTGGGGGTCTGTCCCTCACAAAAATTAAAATTTAAAATCTCATTTCCATTCTAAAATATTAAAAATTCACCAAGACATGAGATGAACTTTTAATTTATTTATCTATTTTTTTAAAAAAATAATGTCAAATAATAATAAACTAGTGACTAGAAAGAATGTTGATCAGGGTTGAAAATGATCACAAGCCCCCAGCCAGACAGTGGTAAAATATGCAAGTGGTGGTTAATTTGCCACAATGGTAACCGAGTCAGTGGCTGGTAGATTTTAGGATCCAGCAGTGGCAGGTGGCCAAAGAGTTAATTTCCAACCCTGATGCTGATACAAGTATGGAGGCCAACAGGAGTCTGAACA